GGAGGGACATACGTAATACCGCAGGTCACCAGATTTTTAAGGAACTGCTTATGATGGGAAAGTCAAACTCTAGTTCCTGCTCCACTACTTGCTTTCTGCTCTGCACCTACAGAAATCTAGTTCTTCACTTCAGAGAAAGATAATAACAATTATGGAGGTAGAGGACAAAAATGTTCAAGGCAATGTTCTTCAGCAATAGCTTACTGCATGAGAAATGCTGCAGTGACCTCACCCCTCCCATCGCTCTTCTTCCAACCAAACATTAAAAGGAAAGCAGCAAGCCACAGGATACCAGAAAGGCCTCGGTACTTGAACCATACAGCCAAAACGAGAAGTACAATACTTCTCTGCACTCACTGTTCCCTATCGGCAAGCACTAGCAAGTTCCCTGATCAGGATGCAGGGTGTTGAAAAGCTCTTCTGAGGCACTTGTCCCCAAACATCATCTTTGTGTCCTGGTTTCTCCTCGCTAGGAGCTAGCTATGTAAAAAATGAGAGGGATCTCATTCATGGCTAAGCATGGCTTCAGATTACTTTTAGACACCAACAAGAAACAGACCATTCCCCCTCCAGTGCTTAGCTCTTTTGCCAATTTATTTTCTGTGCTAATTTTACATTGCAAACAAAAGAATAATAAGTTATTAAAGGAGAAGGTTGTTTAAAGGACACTCATCATAGTATTCCCATTTTAATTTCCAGACAGCATGATACTTTATAGAACTCACAGAAAGATCCCCTCCCACCATTTACAATATTCTTGCTTAATCTGGGTCACATCCCCAACTATGCTGTCTGCTTACACAAGTTGGAGCGATGTTAACTCATCGAGGGCTGCTGCTTATGATTTCATTGAAGTATTTTCACCCAACACTCGGATGCAGCAGCATAACATGCAGTCACGCGTGCTGCGGGGCTGAGCAGCTGGAAGAGGGCAGGAGTTTTCAGAAAGCTCCTTTCATGGCATAGGTGAGCAGCTGCTCCCCGAGTCACTGCAGCTGAAAGGGCAGCATCTGGCTTCTTCCAGGAAAGCAGGGTCCCAGCTCTAACCCTGTTCAAATCCAGCTTTCAGAGTAGCTCCAGAAAATTCCCAAATTCTAAGTTATTTTAAAAAACAATGATGCACTCTTTCTACTAAATTAAAGACAGTGAGAGCTGAGTATTGTTAGAAGTGGTAAGTATTTTATGATGCAATTATGCTTTTTAAGTTTATAATCATTTTAAATCTGAACTCATTACCAGGTTTGCAGGTCATGCAAGGTTTTATTAACAGCACATTTTTTTCTTCCCCCTTGCCAGCACACTACATTGATAAAGTCAAGATTAAAGGCTACTATGCATTTAAACTGACTGAAGAAAAATCTAAGCCCAGATTTGGATTCTTCACTTCGGATTCAAAAGGAAAGCCCTCAATAAAATTTTACAATAACTTGATAAGCAACAACGGCTTTCCTGCCGACTATTCAGTCTGCGATCCCTCCAACCAAGAAAAGCAGTGTAGCTTCTGCTTGTTTATTTCTCAGAAGAAGCCATTAATATTCTTCTCCTGCTGCCTTTTCTCTACCCTTATCTTGCTTTTAACCATTATTGTTTTTCACAAAAGAAAAAGAAGAAAACGTTTTAAGGCCAAAAGCATCCAGCGCATCTGTGTTACATTTTAAAAAAGGGGCACAAGCCTTTCAGTGAGATTCATCACTGTCTGCATTCTACAGAGGATGATGCCGATCAGCCAAGTGTAGAAAAGCACTACGTGAGTCACTCCAGTCATACACACCAAGCATTTCGTTGGGAAATGGAAAGTAATCGTTTGCACAGGAAGAACTATGACTACATTTCTTTCAGGTGAAATTACTTTTGTCCACCTTCTGTACATAAAAAATGATAAAATCATCTATTTTTAAAAAAAAAAGAACATTTTATGACTCCTCTGTGCCTTGGAATAACCTTTCACACAGTTTGACTTGAAAAGAGATACTAAGCTGTGAGAACTGATATGCACTTTTCTATGAACCTCTTTGGACCAAAGCATCTGGTGATGTATATTCATGTTATGAATGTTGTTGAGCATTAAACTGCAGTTGTGAGGGTTTACAAATAAAAGCATTATTAAAACCCACAAGCTTTCAATTAAGTACAAAGCCAAGAATGAAATGTGCTGGGCCACCTTCTGAAGATACCTCTAAAAGAACAAACCCAAGTTAACTCTATTATTGACCAACATACCTGTATCGCTTGCATACTGGGGCAAGTAGAGATGTGATGCCAATAGTTTTAAGTGGATGTAACTGGACCCACAGGAGGCAAGTCAAAATAATACACAATCACACTACTTTTCATCTCCAAAATGAGTCAGCCATAAAAAATTTTACTAGTAGAGAATATAAATAGCAACTATTAATCCACTCAAGAGAGTGATGGATATAATTCTCAATAGTACTTTTTCATAGAAAAAAATATATATTACCTTAGTTCTGGTCAAGTGCCAGTGCAAGCCATGAGGGGGATAAAACCATGAGAGGAGTTTATTGCTGCGTTAAACAAAAGGTACCAGCCCAGGCATTGTGCTCTTAAACAAACCTGCTATCGCATTTAAACTTTTCAGGGACCAAACCTGGAGGTTTCCCTGGGTCTGGTTTTGGTCATCTCAAAATGAGCTCAACATGTTCTTCCCATGAACTGTACAATTGTTTAAGATTGACATTGGCCAGCCTTTTCAGTCATGGCATCAAAATGCACAGGTGTTAGAGGCGCCTGCGTCCTTCCATCACCCAACAACACAGACTAGTTACCACACAGCAACCGGGGAGCCGAACTGAAGCGTACAACAGGGAGATTCCTCCTTAATTCTGTGTACGTGGTGGGAGCAGAGAATTTTGGGACTCCTTTAGCTGCACAGTTTGCACAGCACAAGAACCCATCTCAAAGATGTTAAGCAGGCTGTGCACCAGTCCACATCTGCAATTTAGCACCACTGCTTTGGCAGGCTCAGACACTGGTACCGCACACTCCTGTGAACTCAGAATCGTGCAAGTGGGTGCTTTGGGCAATTTTCTGAATTTCTTAGGCATGCATAGATGCTTTCCTCAGTATTAAGCTTTAGCCACCTGTTGCCAAGTATGTTTCTGCACTATCCCAGTATTTTCTCAGTATGTTTTCAGAAATTGAATATACCCAGTGACATAGCACAGAAATAGCACAAAATCCCAACTAGGTGTTGCTACACAGCACTATTAGTCAACAGAAAAAACCAGCCACAAACCACTGCTGGTGAAACTCAGCAATAAGTTCAACCTCAGAGTTTAGGTAAAGTCCTTGGTTTTCTTAACAGAGCAATATAGCTAAAGCAGCAGATTTTCAGACCACTACTTCTATCCCTGGATTTAGTTTAGAGGGGATTATAAATCTGGTTCTACCAATTCAAGTTTTTAGTCTACTTCAGATTCTGCTACCACAAGCCTGAGTTCCCCTCCAGAAATTGTACACAGAAATCAGTTTCTTGCAGTTTGAGTTTCTGAAATGATGTGAAAGAACACTAGTCTCCTTTTCACAGGAACAATGCTTTTGCTATTTATTAATGCTATGATTTCAAACTACCACATCATGGCTTTACACACTGGGTCCACACTGCACCAGCATGAGGTTTCCAAACCATCAGACTTCAGTCAGTCTGAATGCTCTCAGAGACTGGTAAAGCAATGTGTACATAGTGCTCACCCTGTAATCACCATTTAGTTCTTAAAAAAAGAAGAGGCTGAGATATGAAATATGTTTTATTTTAATAAACCCCTCATGGTGTTTGAGTTTTGTATCACCAATTCTTCAGGTTAGTACTTGCCAATATCATGCCTTGTGGTCGTTTGTTTCAGCTTCCAAAAAGCTGTAAATAAAAAGTTAAGAGCTTTTAGAAAGGTTTTAGCACTGCAACTGTGAAATTGAAATTTTAGAGACATATTACAAGTTAATTCATCTGATAGTTTTAATGCAAGACAGACATTAATAACTCAAAGAATTTGCTTAATTTTATTTAGACAAGATTTCTTAAAGATGCCTTCAAACACAACAGCTCATGATTGTTTAACAAGCAGGTAACAAGGTTGTTCCATCTCTCAAGGAACTCAGAACAGCACTACAAATCATTTTTTCAGCTTGCAAGTGTCTGGTACCTGGCTGGTGATAAAACAAAAATTTAGTTTATGAAACTCACTTCATCTGCATCCTCTGTCGCAAGCTTAGGTTCAGAAGGCACACAACATTTTTTATTTGCAAGTCAACCTGTCTCATCCTGCACAAGTGTTCCATACCACGTATGGAACCATACATAGCTGAAATGCATCAAATTCCTTTAGCAGTTGAAATTCTTACATTATCCCAAAATCCTTGTACTCAACATCAGTAACAAATGTACATACACAATGTAAATAGTTGTCCTTGTTAAACAGACCTTTGTTTACAAGCATTTACACACAAGCTACACAGAAGACCTTTATATATGTTATGTGGTGACCACTTTTTTTTGTGGAGTCAGTGTCCAACCAGGAGGAACATTAGTTCAAGAAAGTCTTCTCTGTAAATAGAATCATAGAATGGTTTGGGTTGGAAGGGACCTTAAAGATCATCTAGTTCCAACCCCCCTGCTGCGGGCAGGGACACCCTCCACTAGACCACGTAATAGCTGCAAACTAGTCTGTCATGCTAGGTCAGCCGGTTTTACATTGTCAGCCACCATCGTAACTAGCATTCACAGCGTAGAAAACAACACTTGAGAGATACAGATTTCTCCATACCTTCACACATAATGGAAAGTTGATGAGAGATGGAAAGTTGCTGTCAAGAGATCTAGCAAAATTTGAGTTTTGTGATACCTCTCATGATGCCTTTTACAAGCACAACTGCATCCCTGTTGGGAACCTGCTTACCCACAGCCTTGTTCAAGTAGATAAACCTTGTCAAGTCCCCAGATCAAGTAACCATCTCTACACGGAAGATGTGCATTAAGATGATACCAACCTATTAGAGTTTTACTCATCTGCCTGCTGTACTGTTCCTTTCTCAGAGACATAGATACCATCCAAGAATTTCCTGATATCCTTGTTCTTGACTGTAGTGGCTTGCTGGATCAAGGCAGCTGCAGACAAAGCAAAGCCATTAGCAGAAAGCAAGAGGTCCATGCCAACCCGTAGCCTTTGTTTACTCTCCAATATTTCAACTAACAAATGAAACTGTCATTTGGAAAAAGGAATTACCAACTTGAAATCCTGACAGCTCTAATGAAAGCAGAATGCTTTTCACTGAGCCTGTCCTGGCAACTCGGGGCAGTGACAGTTTATTACTGCACACTCAAACAACTGAAAAGCTGAAAAAGTTTGGGGCCAAAAAGGTCATCAATGCTGACTAAAAAAAAAAAGGTTCTGTGGACTTGGACTAGAGGGAAAAAAATTCTGAGCTGCCATTTATCTCAGAGTTTGAGGAAAAAAAAAAAAGGTTTGCTAAGCTGACATCTTCAGATAAAAGTGGCCATATCATTCTATCTTCCCACACATCCACTTTCACAAACCTGAATTGGAGACCAATTCAATGTCATTGCCTTCAAGGATCAGCTCATCTTTCTGGGCTTGAGATACTGCACAGGAAACACCTACGGAAAGGAAAACACACAATCTACATTTTTGGTGAAGACACTGAATGTACTAAAGAAACAGTATTTACATACCGTCCCAATTTACAGATCTAGAAAGTAGCACTTTGGGCAATAATTAGCTTCTATGACTCTGAGTCCTGCAAATCCCTTCCAGGATTATGCTCCCTCACACAGTTTCAGAACTCAAATATTAGTGCAAGTCATGCTCTGGATTGAAAGCAACTAAGTGATATTCCTACTTAAATGTTACTACATTACAGCATTAATCAACAACACTGCATACCAGTCAGAGATTTAGCTAGCGAGGCTTTGTCAGCTAGGTGGTGCCATTTTCCACATTCCTATGTTCATTAAGACAAAACTGGAGACACCTCAAAAGTCATTAAAATCCCCTGTCCCCTGACATGTCAGGCACCATGTTTATACTAGCAACACTGCAAATGCTCACAAGGAGTAAACGCTAGGACATTCAAGAATCCAACAGGAAGTTTTCATTTGCAAGGAGAGTAACACAAGTAAGTTTTTATCTTTTGATCTATTTAGTCAACAGACATTAGCTTTTAAGCCAGCACTTTACTATCTTTGAAGTAAATGCTGACTTAAAAAAATCCAATACAATAATCAAACGCATCCTTAATATCCTGGTAGAAATCAAAGTCAAGGCCACCATAAGTAAGTCCACACTCTATCTACCAGTGGTTTTGGATAAGTGATGCTTTCATCTAAAGCCACCCCAAAACACCATCAGTCACACTAAATATCCTTACCCACACTTTCACCAGAAGTGGATCTATCAAAAAAATGGATATGGAAAGTCTATCCTACAGTCTTAAGGTAACTTTGTGTTTATGACATGTTTTGTCTCCTCCTTTTCGAAGTTTAAAAAGCTCCATTAAATGTCTGCTCTGTTAGACATTTTACTAAAACTCCAAGTAGGCAAGATGTAAAACCAACAGGTAAAATGGTAATTTTGAAGGTTATCATACATGCTCCTAGACCATCAGGAAATTCAAAATACAACACTTCAAACACCAACAATATTTGGTGCAAAACTAGTTCACATACAATGTTTAAAACAAACACAAATCTAAAATTAAGCACGTGCAGTTTACCAATTATAAACACTGTTGAGATCTGACAATGTTGAAAGTAAACACTGGGTTCCTCGTAACTCACATTGCAATAACTAGCTCTAAACTAGTTATTAGCCATTAGCTAGCTCTCATTACTAAAACTAAGTTACAAAAGTATTATTAATAATAAATCTAAAGAGTGGCAAAGGTATCATAAGTTACATAAAGTGAGACCGGCAAATGCTGCTTCAACAATCAGTTAAAGAAAATAGTTTAGAAACCCTAGTTAGAAATAGTAAAGTACAACGTCTCCAGATACGCTCACCTGGCCTCATCCGGACTCTGCGAATGTACTTCTCTCCCAAGAAGTTTCGGATTTCCACAAGTGAGCCATTATCCTGTATAACTACGTTGATTGGGAAGTGAGCATACACTGACCTCATCTTGTAACGAAATCCCTAGGATAAGGACATCATCAGATACTGAAAGCAGAATACATTAATGGAGTAAAACAGATGCGTAAAGCTTACTGGAGATATCTAAAACCAAAATATATTGAAAATAGTTTCTTAACAAGGGCAAGACACTGAGCCCAAGAGTCATCCAGTTTATTGTTCATGCTTCCATATGCAGAACTTGTTTGACAGCACGTGCAAGAAAAAAAGACAGAGAGAGAAAAAGCTACATCTTGGATGCTTAGAAAAGCTCTACCAAATTAAAAGACCATCTATTGTTGTCAGTAACAAAAATGACAAGTTATCCTATTTCAAAACGAAACTCACCAGTGTAACACCCTTTATCATGTTCTGTACATGGCTGCAAATTGTGCGAACAGTTGCCAGCTCCTTTCTGTTACCCCACCACTTGTCAACACGTAGCTGTGTTAAAAAAATAAATAGAATTAACAAAGCTTTCAGCTACACTTCAAAATTAGAAATGAAATGTTTTTGTGACAAACTAAGAGTGAAAATTTTAGGTAAAGTACTTACAAGCCTTCCTAACAAAAGCACAAAGGTATTTTGTTTCTTTGAAAGATTATTAAAGGCCCACCTAGTTCAAGTCTTTAAGTCCTAACTCCCAGACATATTAGAAATAATTTTTTCTTCATATCTCATTACTAACAAATCTTCAAAGAAGCTGGGATAGATATTCTGACATGTTAAGCTGAAAGATGTTTTATCAAATGCTAAACACTGAACAGGTTGTTCCAAAGTCAGTCTCCTAGGTATTATCCACCAACTTTTTAATATAACACTGTGTGGATCCGGTGATGCTTGTGAAAAAGTAGCTGAAATCAGCCACGCTTTCCCTTTTTTTTGTAGTTTTTAAATCAGTACAAAAATATTACGCATTTATTTAAAAACATCTGCTCTTCCGATGCCAATTCTAGAAATTAAACGTATAGAAACAGTTTTGGCTAGCTAAAGCTAGCCAGTTGATAAAACACAGCATGTAACAATCAATCCCCTTCCCAGTAACTGCCTGACTGTAACTACAAATGAAAATCAATCAACAAATTTACTCCAGTGTAACACAGAACTTAAGAATTCCACAGTTCCCAAGTAGGTCCCAAGGTTCCATGAGAGCAAGCTCTTTCAGAATACAGAGAAGTAAGTGAAAAATTAACTAACTTATCTATACCTAAAAATTTTGCTTCAATCTCCTATACTATCAACAAATTTTAAAGCCAACTGTAAAGCCACCCTCCCTCTCTGGGCAGGGAAATGACCGCTGCAGCACTTACCTTCTTATGTTTCTTCCCCAGGAGGGAGAGCTCCACATTGATGTGGTTAAAATCCCTTCGCAAGGTTCCTCTGGGGCCCTTTACAATGACTGTCCGGCCCTTCAGTGAAACACTGACTAGAAATGAAAGACAAACGCACGTCAAGGGGCTGCGGGGTCAGCACCACAAAACGCCTTTCGAACGCACACGCAGACGTACCTTGGTCGGGGATGTCAACGGTCTGGTTGCTGAGAATGGTCTTCATTCTGCAAACGACAACCGAAAGAAGCTGCAGCCCTTCAAGGCAAAGCCCTTTTCCTAAGCCCTTTCTGCTCCTCCCCCGCACCTGCCCTGTAACGCGTAACTACGGAGAACCGACCCGACGCGCCCACCCCCCTCTGCCACCG